CTTCCGACACTTCCTGCGAACCCTGAAAGGTAGGACGAAGCGGCGTTAACGCTGGGGTTGCTCTGGATTTGCTTTCGGAAAAAACTTCCCTTGGGAAGCTGTTCCAACAGCAGTTACAATCTGATGTTTGTGTCCAAAACCCCAAAAAGAAATGAGTAGGTGTGAAATCTAGGAATGGGATTTGTGGGGGTGAAGTGAAAGCCGGTGTTGTGCAGGCCTTGAGCGAGCAGACCCGGGTTTCAGGGATGGGCGGACACGCTTTGGGCATGATGGTGCTTGTAGGTGGGTAAAACACATGTGGGGTGCTCAGCCTCCGGATGAGCGAGCTCCCCATCAGCAGACCCAGGTTTCAGGGATGGGCGGGCACGCTTTGGGCATGATGGTGCTTGTAGGTGGGTAAAACACATGTGGGGTGCTCAGCCTCCGGAGGAGCTGGGAGTTTGGGGAAGGCACCAAGAGCCAGCTCTGCTCTGGGAAGAAAGGAAAACGGGGAGGGAAAATTGCCTTGGACTTTAGTGTCACTTGTGAAGAAAGCAGCTGCTTAGAGCAGCGAGGAGACCCTCATCTGGAGTCCTGGCTGCTCAGAAGGGATAAAATATTCCTGTTCTGCTGGCTGATGGACAGAAATACAGAATTTTCGTCACGGGACAGGAGGGAGAGGGGGCTGAAACTTTGTAAAACCTAAGGCCCCGGCTCTGGGAGCTGAAGAGGGTGGGCAGCGAGGTGCTGCACGGCAGAGCAGGCGAGGGTAGGGGTTTCATCCAGCGCTTGGTTCCTCTCCCTGCAGGCAAGGAGCGCCCCGTGATAACCAAAGAGCAGTTTCTCTGGACGATTCAGGTGGCTGCAGCAGCCGAACAATCCTGGAGAAACGGCTCCGCCGTCGACTTGCGCAACGAGGCGACGGAGTCGTCCGCGATCAAGACGGAGATGGTGTGATGGGCGCCGCTGGTTTCTGAGGCGAAGGATGACCGTCGCACTGTGCTGCGCCGAGGTCGTTCCGCTGGAACCTTAAAACGAGACTCACAGTTTTGACGATTCCGCCGGGAATGCCCGGAAGAAGCAGACGTGCTCAGTGCTGATGCCGCGGAGGTTTTGGAGCCCGTCAGCCAGAGCCCTGGGCTGTTTCATCCAGGTGGCTTTTCCCTCCTGGAAAGCTCTGCTGGCCTGAGCTCGCTTTTCCTGGGAGACCGATGCTCCTTGGGCCGTGGTGAGGTGGCGTCGACCACCACCAGCCATGATGGGGACGCTGTAAGGGACACTGTTCTGAGCACCCTGGTCTAGTGAGGAGTGTCCTGCCCACGGCAGGGCGGGTGGAACTAGATGATCTTTAAGGTCCCTTCCAACCCAAACCATTCCATGGTTCCATAAGGGGGTGGTTTTCCTGGCAGCTTCACAAGCCAGACGATGTCGTGCTCCAAAAAAAACACGGGAGTGCCCGTCCGGTCCCTTCGCTGTGCACCGGAATGTGACTTCGGTGCTGAACTCACCTCTGGGCCTCCTATTTATTGTTTTGTTTGGGGTTTTTACTGGGTTTTCTACATCATTTTGCAAAGAAGTTAACGGGCTGATCTTCCTCGGGGGTGGGGAAGAGAAAGGAGGAAGCAGGGAGGGAGACTGTGATGAAGCAGGGATGAGTGACTGTGAACGGAGGCCGTTCCGTGGCGGAGCACATTTCGGTGGCAAACGCTGCGTTACAAAGGGGGTTTTGGGCTGGGGCCGGTGAAGTTGTGCCGGGGCTCTGTCCCCACGGCCGGGTTACTCGTCACCCGCACTGGTTGCTGCCTGGGTAATTCCAGCAGCAAGGAAGCTGCCTGGGGGCTGCTCTTCTGCTTCCTTACACCCAGATGATGTATGTTAATGTCTCAGTAGCAAAGTCGAACGAATAATCACGTCCTTGGCGTGTCAGAGAGGCATCTGGTTACGCGTTTTTAGAGGTAATTTTTTCTACAGTCCGGCAGATTTGGAATATCCAGCACAGGAAAAGATAGTGCCTTCAGCAAGAGGCCAGCCTGCTTTTAAACCAGGCTCTTTGTACCTTTTTATTCTGGCGCTGAGCTTACATCGGATGCATAGATTTTCCCCATCCTGGCTCTTTCTCCCTTGCCGGTCTGGGAGCTGGGTTTATCCTGCTCCGGTAAGGTTGGTGCCGGGAGCGTCAGTTTATAAACGATGCTTCTCGCGAGATGCATCCGTTCCCAGTTCCGACGTTTGCAATACCTGTTCCTGCAGCTAGAAATAGCTGTGACGTCTGTAACTAAAGCCAGTTCTCGTGGAAATCGGGTTTTTCCAACTTAGAAAAGCTATGTCTTCCCAATGAAGATTGTTCTCCGGCTTTATTTTTGTTTTCTGGTTGTTTATTGGGGGGAAAAAAGGTTTTGCTGATAAAGAAGTCGACGTTTGCCTCGCTGACGGTAACCGCTGCGGCAGCTTGTTGGTAGGAAGTGGGTTTCTGTACGTTTTGGGGGAGGTTGAAGGCTGGCTCGGTGCAGATGTAGCTCTGCGGGATGAACGTTGCCGTCAGCGCCAAGAGCAGCGCGGTGACCTTTCAGGTGACGGCTGCTTGCATCCGGGGAGCAAACTGCCCCCAAAACAACGGCAGCTCGGGGAGGAGAGCGCTCGGCTCCCTCGGGCCGGCTGTGAGGGGCGAAGGGGTCGTTCGCAGCACCCGCTCGTGGTCTCTCTGTAGCTTCGTGGTCGCTTGATGGAGCAAAGCGCCCTCAGGGCCGGAGCTTTGGGCTGACACTGGCAGAGGAGAGCACTTTCTGTAGGATACAAGCAAGACTTGGGTTGCCAGACATTGCAGTTCCCACGTGTGCTTTTATTGTGTTACAAAAACAAATAAGAGAAACCACAGCTATAAAAATAACACAATTTCCAAAGCTAACGTTACCAAACGTCCCATTCGTACCACGGCTGGAGCGTATCGGTTAGCGCTGCCGGAAGAAGCCTTAGTTAACATCCAGAACAGGAATGATGGCTCCAAGACCTTTAAAGCCCTGAAGTGCTTTAATTAGCCGTTACCTCAGGACGTAGGTTCCCGTTTCAGCAGCGCGAGAGGCGCCGGGTTCCTCATCGGCGTCGT